AGAGACCCATGAACTGTGTGTAATTCACTGTCATGATCACCCTACCAACATTTTGGATGAAATGCTATGGGAACCCAGAGAATAATTAATATTACTTGGAAGGGTTCAGGATGAATTCACAGATGTAATATCTGAGCTGGACTTTGAAGGATAAACAGGATTTTTGTGGGTCGAGAAACTGAATGAATAAATAAATGAATAATTGTCTTTAAGCCTCATATTTTATAATTAGATTCTAACAGCTGTGGGCAGATCCCTTGCATGCCTCTTCCCATGTTGGAGGAGTCTACGTTTCCTCATTCAGCTGAAACAAATACTTCTCAGGTGGAATACATTATTTCTAAAGCCCGTCTCGTTTATCCAGTAACTTCAACCTAGCCCTTCAATTCTGGGCTTAGTTGTGGATGACCAATTCAGCTATTTTATCATTACATCCTTAACCTAAGCATTTAGCCCTAATCCTCAGCAAAGCCGAAAAAAGATACTCCGTGTTTCTTTGACAATCCACTGACAAAGTCCAATGAAGCCCAGGTATTTCTTGGAATATTTGTGTCAACACGTAATAGCTGTGATGCCTCACAATGTAAACCTTTCTATGTCAGGACTTTGCCCTGCAACTGTCTAGTCTGTCTTAACCACTGTAGGAAATTGTGGTTGGAGTGAAGAGAAATCAGGTGTGGGGGATAGCGGGCGGAGAAGAAAGTGATGTGTGTTAGATGGCAGCCTTTTTCTTTTCCTCTATCAGCCTACCAATAAAGCCAAAGATCATTGATTTCTAGTACCTGAACAAAACTCTAGCATAGCATCCGTCACAATGCATATATTTGTTTAAAGGTCATCCCCCACGTCAGGCTGAGAGTTGACTTCTCATGTTCATCTTTGTCAAATCTTTGTATTTCCTGCACCTAGCACAGTTCCCGGAGCCCGTTTGTGGAAAGAGGGAAGAATGGATTTGCTTCATACAGAAGAATGCTTTTTCATCTGCTCTGGGTTATGGATTGTTTTTGTTTTTGTTTTCAGAAATCTTGTGAAAGTTAAAGACTTTCACCCTTCGGAAAAAGGTGCACGTAGGTATGAGCTTGCAAAAATGTGTATCCAAGTTTAAGGAGATCACAGATGCCTTGAAACAAACCCATAGACTTTAGGTTAAAATTCCCTGAATTAAGAGAGAGGGTAACAGGAAATGGTAAAATGATTTTTAATTCACACTCTTGGTCTAACTAGTATCACAGCTGAGGTGGGGCTACTAATCATATTATGATTAGATGTGGAAAGAACATCTTAGCAAACGTGGTAGTGTCCAAGCCAGTGCGAATAAGGACTTGTTTGTGTGAATAAGGACAGTTTGCATAAGTCCAACCATGCCTACTGTTGGGATGACCTAGAGGCATCCTCCTTCCTTTCTTGGTAAACTCAGGGGTTTCTATTTTCCCATTAAAATTTCTCCTCCCTAATCCACCCTTTGAATTTCTCTGGCATTTACCTCCCGTCGCCATTGTTCACCAGGTTCTTCCAATTCAAGCTGATTGCTCTGTATCTCAGGACTTGCAATTATTCTAGATCTTGAGAAACTGAACTGGTCTCTGTGGGATTTCAGATGAAAACTCTGACTCAGACCCAGTCATAAAGTACAGAAGTACTTCATCAAAGTGAATTAGATGCCTGATTATCAGAGTTAGGCAGTGAAAGATACAAGGAGTGAGAATGTTCTAAATCCAAAGGCAAAACTATCAAAACTAATTTTGCCTTCAGAAATATTTGCCAGAACATGATCTAAGGTGAAAACTGACACACAATCACAGTCAAATAAGACTTTGTTTACAATGTTAGCACAAATGCAGTCATTGCTATTTCCCACCACTGTCAATTCTCCATTCTTATTATTAGGGAGTGCTCCCAAGGTGAAGCGAAGATAATTTTCGGTCTAAACTTTTTTTGTCCGTGACTTGAATTGCTCTGGAAATTTTCCTTTCAGATCTCGTGTTTGTTTAGCAGGTTCTTTACAATATGCATGTGACTAAAATTATTTTAACAGCCTTAATTGTATTACAATGACAAAGATTCTGTAGATCTTGTGACAACACATTCTTCTGTAGGAGTTGATTTAATTCCTTTTCAGTGGTTGATATTTGAACCTCTTTCATTTAGAGGAGATCCAGCAACACAATTCACTAAGCGCCTAAACAGGTCCAGGAGGGGTTAAAGAACACACCACCAATATAAAAACTGCCACTCTCTTGCGTAATCTATACAACCTTGTAGTTGAATCTGGGTTCTTGTGAAATTTTAATCAAGTAACTTGGGAATGCGATATGATGATTGGGGAGCAATATAAAGGAATTCTACAAACTACTAAATCTGTTTTATGTTTTGTTCCATAATCCTATTGTAGTTTTCAATGAGAGGAAATTTCCAAATTTTACACGCTTAAAGTTTTACTTTTTATTGTGCACAAAGTTTTATGAAGGTGTATATTTGGGTGATGGGTGGTTTTTAAAATACAACATGAGAATATTTCCAAGATCAAATAAAAGGGGGAACAACTGAGACATTAATGACTACAGAGGGAAATATCCTTGGAACTGGGGGTAGCATGTATTTACTAAAGACACAATGACCAGGTAGTTATTTTTGGTAACTCTCAACATTATGCGGGTCATATCATATTTTGTGACCAGAGCAGAGCAAACATGTTTACTAATGAGTTTGTGTTTTTAGTCACTGAAATTTTAAGGATAACATAAAATCTAGGTCTCGATGCTAAGGCATGGCCATGAAAACTATCCATCTAAACAGTTTTTCAAAAAATTTATCTCTGTAAAAGGACATGGGAGGGACACAGAATTTTCAAATATCCATTGAGATAGAATCACTGCTTGATGCAGGGCCTGATGAGGTAGGGCCTGCGCCTAAAGAATCCATCTAGGAGAATTCACAGTCTAAGTCAAGTCACACTTGGGGGGCCATCTCATTACTTTGTTGTATCAAATCAGGGGAAGTCTGATTAACATGGACAACAAAGCGCTCATACTGGAGGGACAAAAAGGTACAAAGGGGCAGAGAAGTACTGAGGGAAAGAGGAAGGAAGAGGCCTTGCCAATTCTTGTTAATTGGGGTCAGAATAGTACTGGGAATTTCCTATACCCTAAGTTTGTTGAATGATTACATAGGTCTAGGGAAAGGGGATATGCTCAGACTGATATGCCCAACTTTTTAGTATTGGGGTTCTACCTAGTAAGTTGCAATTTCCTCTTCTCACATTTTGATTGACTAATGGGAGGGGGGAGGTCTCCAACAGGTGTTTGCTCCAATTCAAAAGCTTTGGCCTGTTGGGCAATTTGGGTTTGAATCTTCCTCTCTCAAATGAGTGGGGCTCTTACCAGTTATGAGGGACTTCCCTTGGGACTTGTTGCAACAGCATACAGTGGCAATGGAGATTTGAGGGTAGTTTCCGGTTCTGCTTTGCCATCTTGGGGTGGCTCTGAAAAGCTTTCTTACCTCTGACAGGAAGAAAATGTTCACAGGGTTGATTCATTACTACACAGAATGCAGTGAAGATAGTTGGGCAACCTGAGTCAGATGTTCAGATGGAAAGATAGGGAGACTCTGATGACACAAGTTTAAATTCTAGGTCTGCAGGTAAAACTTTGCAAAGAGCCCCACCCCAGAGACACCTGCACTGGGGCCTCCTTTGCTGTTTCTTCCCCATCTCCAGGACTCTAAGTCTAGATGAGTTGCACACATTCCTGGGGGAAAGGCTGTATTATATCACTTATATCTATCTATATACATAACTACATATGTATGTATAGATAGGTATGTGTATATATACACAACAGACTAATTGGTATGATTTGTAACCATCTTTGTAGATAAAATAACAAAAACAAAACCTAACCTAATAGCTTAAAAACGTTGCCCAGTGATTGCTGGCATCAATATCCCACAAGAGATTAAAATTATTCCCCAAGTTGCATCCCCTGCACTCCAATTGATATTTTAATAACTTGATTAAAAATTTCTCAGAAGTCTATTAGAGTCAGGAAACGGTCTGCGGTGTAGGTGAGGATTTTCAGTTTTTGCAACGGAAACTTTTGGCCCCATGAACAGAATAGCAAAAACTCAATTAAATGTGTTTTTCCTCCATCCTTGCCTAATCCAAAAGTAAAAAATGAAAAATGGTTTGGAAGAGTGGTGTTTAGGTTTGCTTTTCTTCGTTTTTTCCTGTAGAACGGCCAGGTGGATTCATATGATCCAATTTTTAAATAGTCTTTTATCTCCCATTCCGAATAAATCCGGCCACCCAGCACAATCAGAAAGTTGTTTTTTGTTTTGTTTTGAATTTTCAGCCTCTAAAGGATGGGGGAAGGGAAACAAAAGAGGGGGAGGGCAAAGGACGGAGAAGTACTTTAATTAAAAACAACCAATAACTCGAGTTTTTTAGATAAGGTTTTTCATTTCCTAATTAAGAAATGAGTTTAATAGTCCTTTGGCCAACACAAGTTAGACACTCCTATGAAAACCCTAAAGGGCTGGTGGCTGTCCCAGGGACTAAACTCCGTTCCCCTGCGAGACCCCAAGCCAGCCCGCGCGCCCCTGGCCGACCCTGCCCAGCTCTGATTGGGGTCCTTCCCACTCGTCCAGCAGGCACCTCGGCTCCCCCAGGTCTGTCTTCTCTTGCCCTCAGTTCCGCGCTGGACCGGCCGCCTCGGGCTCGCCGCCACCAGGTCGGCGCAAATACCTTTTCCCTCCCCGGGGCCCCAGGCGCGGACACCTCCCTGCCTCCCTCCCTGCTGGCGGGGCCCTTTCCCGGCTGGGGAACAGCAGCCCCGGCCGCGGCGGCAGGAAGCGAAGCCCTTGTTGATGCTGTTCCATGGCGCACCCCCCCGCCCTCCGGTGGCCGCCCCGGCTCTTCCCGGCTCCGGGGCGCCCCCCTCCGCGCCTGCGCAGTGCCCCGCGGGGGGCGGGGCTCAGATTCCTGTCAGCGGCGGTGGCGGCGACCGTCAGTTTTCGCTGAGGAGAAGCACGAAACGGACCCGTTGGCTCTCCCCCCTCCCTTTCCCCGCCCTGAACCCCCCTCCTGGCTCGCCGGGAATTAGTCCCCGTGGAGTTTCGCCTCCACCTCGCTGCGGTTTCCTCGGCCCGGTGGAAGTCACTGCCCTCGAGGAGGAGGCAGCAGCGGCAGCCGCCCTCGCCTAGCCGCCCCCGGTTCGGTGCCCGCGGTCCCGGAGAGGAGGTGCCGCCGCCACCGCCGCTCCCCCCCTCCCGCTGCCCTCGGGCCGGGCTGGGTCGAGCTGCGATGCCCTCGGACTTCATCTCATTGCTCAGCGCGGACCTAGACCTGGAATCGCCCAAGTCCCTGTACTCGCGAGGTGAGTCAGGCTGGGGGCTGGGGCGTGGGGGCGGGGAGGCCCGGCCCCGGGGAGCCGGAGGGGTCCCCGTCGGGGGGTAGGGGCAAGCCCGGGCCGGTCGGGCCTGTTTTGGGGGATGGGGAGAGGCCGATGGGGTCGGGTGGTGGTGGAAGGGGCCGGGGAGGAGTGGCGGCCCCTCCCCCGCGGAGCCGCCGGCCACACGGGGCCCAATTGCCGTCGGCCCCGGGTCTCTGCGGCACCAGTCGCACTGAGAGTCCCTCGGCGTGTCCGGCCCCGCCACACTCCTCGAGCAGCCGGCCCCGGCCTCCCCAGCTCAGGGATCTCCCCCCCCCCGCCCGCCCACGTCCTCTCCCCCCACCCCCGACTGGGCCCCGCGCTGGGGCCGCTGCGATCGGTGCGCCGCGGCCGCTCTTACCAGGACCATCCTCCCCAGCAAAGTTGCCCCCAAGCGGGCGGCGTGGCTTGGAGCCGGTTCTGGGTGCAGGGGCACCATTTTTCTCCCCCTCCAGGTTGTTTGTGCGCCGTCGTTCTACCCCCGTCTCCCTCCGGCCTAGTCCACTCCCTCCCCTTGTTGGGACGGCCCCCCTCGACCAGGCGTTCTTCCTTTCCTCGTCATCTTATTGCTGGAAAGGGCCCGAATTTTCTGTTTTCCTCTCTTGCCACCTATGTGGCATTCTAACGACTTGCATCTCCCTCTCGTTTACAAAGGCAGGGGTGGTCTCTCTCTGGCTCAGTTTTATCCCTCTCCTGTCCCGGGGGTACCAGCTCAGGCACTGACGCTGTCGTCCTTTGAGAATTTTCTCTTTCGCGGCCGTTCAAGGGTTCGTGGCAGGGAGGGGGCAACGAGATTCCCGTTTTAAAAACTCTTTTGGCCAAGGCCTGAAGGGGATTCCCGGGATCCACGGTACCAGCACTTGAGCTGATCTCTGCTGGGTTTAAATTCCTATACTGGGCACCACAAGAATGTGTTAGAACAGGTTCCCCGTGCGAAAGGGGCATCAAACCGAAATGCTCCCTCCGCACTCCTCACCACTTTTTACACCACTGGGAGGGGCAAAAGACATAACTGGGTTATTAGCTCTTGATTTCACCATATTAAAAAAAAAAAAAAATTGAGTGCCATTGCGAACCTCCTTCCCGAGACGGCCAGCGTTCCTTCATTTTTTTGGTGTTCCGTATCCATCCGCTGATTCCACCCCCTCCGGAAAGGGGGACTTCAGCCTTCACGCGAGTACCTTGAAATTGTTTTAAGGGAATCGGTGTGCGATGGTTTCGTCTGGAAGGTCCTGGACTTCGCACACCGACGACTGGGTTTGTGCACAGAGCCCTCCTTAGTAACTGTGGCCATTGTCTGTTGCTCTGATGACTTTAGTTGGCAGTCACCATCCTGTAGGATGTTTCTCCGGCAACGTACCTGAAGTAGTTTGGAAATACTGTAGTTTTGAGCGTCAGAAGAAAAAGATGATGTCAAGAGGTGATTCTTAGAAGAGGGCTAATGTGGTACCATCGGTGCTAAAAATAGCCAAGACATTAACACCGTTTGTGCAGTAATCATCAGATAATTTTCCATGAAACAAACACTTTATGACCATCTAAGTTTAGCACAGAGACCGATGTGAGAGGCAGTTCAGCCTTCTTTGACAGCATATTCGCGAATATGGGCTTTAGCTCTTAAAAATACGTGGCAGTTATGTAAGAGATGTATGCTACCCTTGACTTTTTTTTTCCTTTTTTTTTTTTTAAGTCATTCAGCATAAAAAGTGCTTAATGCTTTTTGTGTTTTTCAGATTCTCTGAAGTTACACCCATCACAGAATTTTCATAGAGCTGGACTATTGGAAGGTCAGCAAAGTGCCATTTTAAAAGCATATTGTGTGAGTATGCAAAGGCTTTCTCTCAAATGGAGTTTAAATGAGAAAGTGTGAAACTTTGCAAACTCACACAATGTAGTCTTCTCGTAAAGAGCCTGATCCTTCTTTTAGAGCAGCTGAATGTTTCGGTGGATTTTGTTGCTGTGTTTGATGTGCTTGTTAGCTTATTGTATCTGCTTTGAGAAGCCTTGAAAAAACTCCCACAAAATCGTTAAAAATTATGTGTTGGGTGTTCTACTTTAGAATTCCAGGTCTTAATTCTAGCTTTTTAGAAACAAACTGAATATGAAAAGGCTCAAACATGAAGATCATGAATATAACTAAGAATGACACCAAACACATATTTAGTTTGAAAATTCAGAATTTAGAACTTTTATATGCTGAGCATTTCAAAACGGTATGTTAATTATTTATTACAAAAGCATTGATGTCATTACTGTTGTATTACTTTTAAGGATAAGGAAAGCCAAGTGACAGACATGATGAATGAACTACGCTTAGAAAAAAAGGGTTTGAGAAAGTTCTGGAAATGTTAATAGAAGGTGTAGAATTTAAACAGCTGACAATTACTTTAGAAAACTTTGTTATTTTAGCATTTTAAGACAAAAAAAGCCTCTTTGTATTTTGTAATTTTTTAAAACATATTTTTTAAAGTTTATTTTTTTTAGTAATCTCTACACTCAGTGTGGGGCTCAAATTCATGACCCCCTAGATCAAGAGTTACATGCTCTTTGGACTGAGCCAGCCGGGCACCCCAGTGTTTTGTAGTTTTTGAAGGGGCTTTACATATATACTCTTTGAATTTTCTAATCCTGCAATTGGACAGCAAGGATATTAATTTCCCCATTGTAGAGATGAGTAACCTGAGGTTGAAATGAAGAGACTTGGGGGGGGGGGGAGTCACATGATAGCAGAAACAATGCCTTTTGTGTTTTAGCTAGAGTTCTTTACCCAAAGCCAAGCTGCCACTGTAAAATATATTTGTGACCAGTAACTTAAACATTTTGTGGTCAACTTAAAAAATGCCCTAAATATTTAAGTTCGATTTGAGTTGAGATGTTTGAGATGTTTACTTCTCATAGCGGGGTGGGGGGAATGGGTTTTGTAATTGAGCTTAAGTTTGAATACATAACAGTTTAGTTGCTTATTAGCTCTGTGACCTTGGGCAGGTGATTCCACCTCTCTAAACTTTACTATTCTTTCTATAAAAATAGATACAATCTCTTAAATTTAGTGACGTAAGGTGTATGAAAATGCCTAGTTTAGTGTCTGGCTTAATAAATTTTTTGTTGTTGGTTTTTTTTGTTGTTGTTGTTGTTTTTGTTGTTTAGTATTAGCTAAATTGTTTCAACTATAATTTAGAGCATATAAAATATTCTCTAATTATTGATTATATTTATACTTATCAGAAACCCATTGATATATATTAGTATAAAGATCAACTACAACTTGAGGTGAGGAATTTTATGTGTTTCTTAGTGAAGCAGATTTCTGTTTTTTATTCATATTGTTCAGTTTGTGCCATGCTGTAGATTCATATTTGTCTATACAAATGTATCCATTTTCTGGGCAGCAGACCAGAGAGTATCATAATCATAGAGATTATTGGGCAGGAGAGAGATATGAAAAAAAAAAGGGTGTTAATTATTTCAGCAAATGATTTTAACAAGTTGATGGAACTGCAGCCAGTCATTTAATATGTATATTTACATGTATGTGCTTAAATATTTTCATTAATTTCTTATTTTGGTTGAGAGGATACTCAATTTTTTAAAAATAAGACCATCCTTTTACAGATTATATATACATTGTAAAATGTATAAATATCAAGTATCCTTTTATGTCTTTGATACAGGGAATCCTAAGAAAGTTGTTTGGTTGTGGAATGAAAGTGAAGTATTTAATCTCTGTACCCTACTTCTCTTTTAACCATTTATTATGGGCATTTTAAGGAACATACAAAAGTAAAGAGAATAAAATGATGGACCCCCAAATACCTATTACTAAGTTTTAACAATCATCAATACATGTCTAGTCTTATTTCTTTTATCTTCTCCCAAACTATTATTTTATTTTATTTTTAAAGTTTATTCATTTATTTTGAGAAAGAGAGTGTGCACGGATGGGAGAGGGGCAGAGAGAGAGAGGGAGAGAGAGAGAATCCTAAGCAGGCTCCACACTGGCATTGCAGAGCCCAACAATGCGAGCCTTGAACTCACAAACCATGAGATCATGACCTGAGCCGAAACCAAGAGTCAGATGCTTAACCAACTGAGCCACCCATTTGCCCCAAGCTATATTATTTTAAAACAAATATCAGACATCTATTATTTCATGTATAAATACTTCTGTATTGTAGTGATATTTCTTATATTAATTTTTAAAATACCCTACTTTATTCCAGGAAATACTTATTTTGATTTATTTCAGCAAAGTCTGTCCTCTCTCCTGCCCTTTCCTTAAGATAAAGTATGATTGGAGGCTACTGCTTCTAGTATGTAGTGTACCTTGCAATCTGTGTTAAAATTGTAAGTCATGCATCAGATTTGGGTTCAAATCCTTGTTTCAATACTTATGCATGACCTCAGCTTAGTTATTTAATCTCATTGTGCTTTAATTTTCTCATCTTCAGATGGAGGCAATCATAGTGTCTTCATTGTGGGTTACTGAAGATTATTTAAGGCAAATTCACGTGTAAAGCATTTAACCTAGCACATAGTAAATGCACAATAAATGTTAGCTAAATTAAAAATTTAATACAACATCCACTTATATGGCTTTTACTGTGTGCCAAGAACTTTATAAGTGTGAACTCACTGAACTCTCATAACAACCCTTTGAGATGGTTGTTATTCCATTTTATAGATGAGGGAGCTAAAGTGTAGGGAGGTTTAGTAACTTACCCAGAGTCACACAGCTGGTACATTGTAGCCAAGATTCCAACACAGGTATTGTCACTATAGTCTGTGCTCTTAACTACTATACTGTACTGACTCCCTATGTTATATAATATGAAGTACTTTCTGGTATTATGTGTGTATACTTTCTATCAGTGGTCTAGGTATCCATTTAATAGTGAAGTCAGGGGCACCTGGGTGGCTCAGTCGGTTGGGCGTCCGACTTCAGCTCAGGTCACGATCTCACGGTCCGTGGGTTCGAGCCCCGCGTCGGGCTCTGGGCTGATGATGGCCCAGAGCCTGGAGCCTGCTTCCGATTCTGTGTCTCCCTCTCTCTCTGACCCTCCCCGGTTCATGCTCTGTCTCTGTCTCAAAAATAAATAAACGTTAAAAAAAAAAAATAGTGAAGTCAGCCCAGAGTGAGGAGAATTTAATTACTATCATACATTTGTTAAATTTTTTATAGAACATGTTTTTTCCAAATTTAAGTTCTCTCTTTAGGAAAACAAGGTTGGAAAATTTATAGCTGAATATTACTGAACTTGAAAAATAGCTTCAAAATCTCTTTACCATTTTAATTAAGTTTGCTTTTATCCTACATATTGATGCTGGTCCTTCTTGCTACTATACGTATTTTTTTTTAAAGAATAGGGAATTAGTTTTTTTTTTAAATTGAGATATAGTTGACATAAAACACCATATTAATTTCAGTTTCACAAGGTAATGATTTATTATTTGTATATATTGGGAAGTGACCACCACAATAAGTCTAGTTAACATTGGTCACCATATTTAGTTCTCCTACTACCTTTTTACTCAATGTGATGGCCTGACAATGAGAAAAGAGTGTAGGTATCTAACTGAATAATACATAGCCATAAATAATGTTTCTGATGACCCCATAATTACATGAGAAACTCTTAATAAAATAAGTAAATAAAAGAAATATTGTTGCAATTATATTAAAAATAACTCCCATAGAAACTCCTTTACAGGGCCACATGGGTTGCTCAGTGGGTTAAGCGTTTGACTCTTGATTTCGGCTCAGATCATGATCTCACCATCCTGAGATCATGTCCCAGGTCTGGCTCTGCGCTGACATCACGGAGCCTGCTTGGGATTTTCTGTCTCACAATAAATAAATAAACTTAAAAAAAAGTCCTGTGCAAAAGTATGTACTGTAATATTTTACTTTTTAATTCTATTTTTGCATTTTCTCTGCCTTCTCTAAGGAAGATAGTTTATATATATTGAAAAAATAAAATGGTTTACAAATATGAAGGCTAGGAGTCGTCTTTTTTTTTTTTTAATTTTTTTTCAACGTTTATTTATTTTTGGGACAGAGAGAGACAGAGCATGAACGGGGGAGGGGCAGAGAGAGAGGGAGACACAGAATCAGAAACAGGCTCCAGGCTCTGAGCCATCAGCCCAGAGCCCGACGCGGGGCTCGAACTCACGGACCGCGAGATCGTGACCTGGCTGAAGTCGGACGCTTAACCGACTGCGCCACCCAGGCGCCCCATAGGAGTCTTCTTGAATACCTAGAGAAAAGATTCACTACAGAGAAAAAGTTTTCATTTCTTATACTTTTCTGTATTGAAAAATACTGATTTGGGCATATATTGTTTGCTATAGAAAAAATTGAGATAAAAATTAAACTAAATGAAAGTAAATGAATATGATTAAGAGGTCATTCTGGAAATACAGAGATGTAAGATAAGATAGTATAACATCAGATAAAATAGGAAAAATAATAGAAGTGATTTGGAAAAAATAGAGTAATAAAAACAATGGATTAAAATTTTAAAATGTGTTTACAAGCAGGAGTTACAAGATTACATGATGGATAAAATTAAGTAACTGGTTAAATAAGAGCTAAATACCAATGTGAGGTGATCGTAGTATGAATTTAATATTTGAAACTGGAAGATTTTTATTTTTTATATTTATTTTAACAATGAGGGACAATAAACTATTTTTTCTTAACCGCTGTCAAATTATTTGATATAGTACCAGGCATAATTATACTTTATAGTTCACAAAATGAAAATCCTAAAAATAGTAGCAGTGTTTT